GGGGGGGGGGGTGAGTAACTATCCCTTGAACAATTCAGTCCTAGTTGCACACTTAGAAAGACCTTGAAGCTTCTAGATACAGATTTGTTAGAATGTTTTGTTCTTGGCTACTTTCATTTTTTTTTTTTTTAGTAGCATGCACTCATTCAGAGTTCCAGAAATGCATCTCCCTTTGTCAGGAATGTTGATCAGAAAGTTATTTGTGCTTTTTAAACGTTGAGCCAGTGTTTATATAGTTCCAATTTCTCAATTCCTTGTGTACTTGTGGAAAGCATGAGGAGGACAAGAATTCAACCCAAACAAACATTTTGGGCCTTTGTGCTCCAATTTCCTGTCATACCTTCTCCACAGTTTAGACTCCATTTCTCATTTGTTTTTGTCTCTGTGGATTTCCTCAAGCCTGTCTGGGCATTAGTCTTTCAGTCAGTGTTACCACCCCACACCTAGCAACTGTTCTGTGATTGGTTTGGTGAGAGGGAGGATGAAAGAGGGAGGAGCATCTAGTGCACTCTCTGGTCATGCACTCAACATGTTTTTCTTGGGCAGGATCCCAAGGATCTTATCAGGGTTTTTTTCACCGCTAGCTTGATGTTAACTTTTTGTCACTAGATTTCTTCGCTGCTTACGAAGAGTTTCCCTTTTTTAATTCCTTTCGTTTTACTCTTACCGCAGGCTTTTGTGGGTGCATGTAGTGTGCTCGTACCATAAATGCTTCAAGAAAGTCATGATTTCTGAGAAGTGCATGTACTTTACTTCCTGAACCATGCACAATATTGCTTTCTCTTGACAGTTTTGCACTGCATGTACTTCTATACTGTGTGTTAACCTATAACCACAGGGGAAATTCATACATGTATAGGTGACTCGCTCACTCAGCTGATGCATGCCTTACTGCCAACCACAAAAACACAAGACAACACACCGACTGCGCGACTGCTCAAGCCAGTTTGTCCTTCCTTGGAAAGCCCCATATATAATCTGCACGTGTTAGATGCTAGTGTCTGCAAGTGACTATGCTAGTCTTACAGCTGAAGTTTCTCGAATGTAAAAATCTGCTGCGCAGTTATCATTTAAGACCCCCCTCCCTCTTATCTCAAAGACAGAGATAGGCTCACAAGCAAGCCAGAGGGAATATACTTTTATACACTTGAATATACCACGTTTCCCTGGTTTCTAGAAATTGGATACAGTTTGGTACACAACTGACTAGTTACATGCTGTAGCAATGTATATGTAGCTCTGGATTGGTTGTTCTTTCTGAAAGTCTTTTGTTCAGGAGTGGGGGTGGTTGTGAAGTGTTCTCTTGAATGTGAGGGTGTTGAGAGGCAGTGAGCAAAAATAGCCGTGTCGATGGGGGTTGGGTGCAACAGTGGAAGCTTTTGTCTGCACTCGGATTCCTGCACTGCGAAATAGCATTACATAAGTGCAGGGAGGCGGAGCAACAATGGCAGCTGCAGAGCAGACCGACCACTTCCTTTAACTTCAGAGACACAAACCAAAACATGACCATGATGCACTTTAACACCTGTGAAAACATATAGAAGGGGGGTTGGTCATACCCGTCATTGAATTTGCAGCATTATTGTTTTATGCCCACTTTTGAACTTCAACCTCGTATGATAACATATTTATGAGTGTAAATTATTGTAAGTTGTTATATGGGCAAATTATGTAGGGTTCAGATATTGGCCTTGATGCGTTAGAACTGAAGTGTACGAATTCAGGGAAGGTCTGGGATTTGTGATCTCTTGGAAAAAACACTAAAGCAAGTTATTTTGTAACGCTGACCTCAGTCTGGATTGCATAATTATAGGGGCTTAATGCAGCAAGATGGCCCAGCCCATTGAGAAAAACTAAAAGAAACCCAGATCCTTCCAGAAGGGTCTTTGTCCTGCTGAACTACTGAACTGTTACTTCAGAGAGGTTCTATCCTTTTACATCAAAGATGTGTGGGTCTGTGAGCTGATGTTGCTGCAAACTCAGTGCGTGTTGCTGTTATGTAATAAAGCATGGTATGTGGGGGTTTTTTTGGACGCCCAATCATTTTTTTTCCTGTCCCAATGCATGACCTAGTTTTAGGAAGAGGTGGTCGGAGCCCGAACCGACAAAGCAGTCTGTGCTTGCATGACTCACTCATGATTTTTTTTTTTTTTTTAACTGTCGTCTTTCTTTCTCCAGGGTGCCTTTGACTGTCTCCCTTCCGCTATCCTGCTGCAAAGGTAAGCTGAGTTTGTGCCAGCATTTCTGCTAGTACATGCAGCTTGTAGCTTCCTCATCAAGCTAACCTTGCCCTTTCCTTCGACGCTCACAGGAATAGCAGCACTAGGGACCTGACGTTCTTTGCGGGCAAGGCTGTTGCCATGAACCGGCAACTAGCCAAGCAAGACGACCTAGAAGAACAGCAGCTGCAGGACTCCCCTCAGGTCGTTACAGCCGGTGCCACATCCATGCGCCTCTCCCCTCCCTCCAACTCCAAACTGGCCAAGCGCAGACAGAGGAGTAGCCTGCTGAAAGGAGCACCCGTGTCTGCCTCCGAGCTCAGGCAGCTCCTGGCACCGCTGGTCATTGTGGGAGACTATGCTTGATCGGTTGAGCTGGGCTCCCTGTGAACAATTTTCCAATTTCAAATGGACAAAGTATCTGATACCGTTTGTGCAAATCTCTCTCCGTTTCTTCTGCCCACTTGAATGAGACCCAGTCCTTTCCTACACAATGGTTCAGTTTGTGCCTGTTGCAAATCCAGTTTGCTTCTTTAAGCACTGGAGCAAAAGCTCCTACAGCACTTTGATCAGCTCTCGACAGCATAGGAATTACCTTGAGAGCTCGAGGCGAATGAACTGGACTCTGTTTAGGACAGAGATTGGGTTACACAAGCCATTCGGAAATTTGTCTAAAGGTAGAGCGTAAAATACCAGCTCAGACACCAAAGGTCTAATACCTCCCACCCCCCTTCCCGAACCTCTTTTTGTGCTGCTTCCACTGGATCCACTGTGAATTTTCTCTGTGAGAGATACAACTGCGTTTGTTTTTCAGGAACGTTCTTCCTGTGTGTGTGTGTATGTGCATATATCCCCCTCCCCTTCAGCAGATACTGAAGATACTGGTATGTGCTTATGCAACCCTGATGAAGGCTATTATGGCTTGCATTACTTTAGCAGAGATCTTGTATAAGTGGAGCGAAGCTCTGATAATAGTGCCTCACCTAACTTAATGCATCGCTGTCCTTCCCCCACAGCCTTGTAATTGCGTCAAGAAATCCCCCTGACCATTAAGAATAGCTAGTTTTTTCTCTGTTATTCAAGCACTTCCAGAGTGTGTCCTTATAGCTAGACTATCCCAGCAGTGTGCTTTCAAGACGTGGGTCCCCCTAGTTGAGGAACTGGTAAATCCATTTGATTTAGGGTGTATGTGAGGTTTTCCCAAGACTCCAATTGGAATTGCTGCATCAGATGCATCCAAACTCCAAACTCCAAACTGTAACGGTTTCCTGTAAATTTCACCTAAATTTTATCAATAACCGATAAGAGTGACTATAAACATTTCCGAGCACAACTGGGATTGAGTGCATGCTGGGAAGCGACCAGATGGTTGCACAAGCACACGTCTGCCAATGTGACCACATGAATGACGATGGTCGGTATCAGAGAGTACCCCACTGTAAGTGGGGTGATTATTGTACGGAAATATCGAACTATCAGATTGTGGATGCCACCAAAAAGCAAACTATATAAATATTAAGAGGGGAGGGAGAGATTATTTTCAAGTAACATAAAACAAAAAACAAAAACAAAAAAAAAACGAAAAAGCATTCCAGCAAAAGTATATATATAAAAAAAATCTAAACAAACAAAAAAAAGTCTTCCAAGAAAATGTAGCTGTATGAGTGAAATGGTCTAAGAAAGTTTACTTGGTTTTTTTTTTTTTTATATGTTAATGGTTGACTTCAATACAGAGTGTGCCACACTGATGTTTCAAACTTTGTTGAGCTTTGTTTAACTTTTTATTGAAAGAATATTATTTTCTATCTTATTTTTATGCAGGTGCTGTTCAGGTGGAACGTTTTCCCTTTTTATAGTTTTGTTACTTTATTAATGTTGATTTAAATGCTGTAAAGAGCGAGAAGAGTGTATTTGAATGTGACCGGAGTTAGGGGGAGAAAGGAAGGATTAAAACGAAGGAAGGAAAAAAGACGGAGTCATATAATCTGTACAGATCTGATGTTTTACTGTTTTTGTTCTTGCGTTGGAAATGTCTTCAGGGTTGTTTAAACTCCCCTTTTCTCTCAGAAAGCATTGGTGGCTTGATCGTTTTAGTAAGACGCAACAATTTTTGCCAAAGTGCACTCGTTTCTAAAGTCGAATGCACTGCGGTGTCTGGTAGTGCTGATCGTGAATAAGCTTTAGCCTTTCCCATGCCAATTCATAAGACACAGCATACTTGGTTGAGCTGAGCATAGACCATCATTCCCTCTCCGAGGTGCAGAAAGCATTTGAGTCCAGACGTCTGGATTCAGATTAAGTCTTTAAAAATTCTGCAAGCATTAGTGTCACCAATGGGAGTTCAAATCACCCAAGCATATGATCCTGTTGAATGTTTTCAGAGTGTCGCCCGTTCTGTCGTGTTGCTCTTGAGATGCTTTGAGAAACCTAATGGCAGTCCTTGGTTTTGAAGGGCCCATTATGCTGATTATTATGACACTGATTGTAACCTTTATTGATTTTTGTCTTTCTTTCTTTAAGAATCTTTTTACAGATGCATCTTTGTGGGTTTTTTATGTCTTATAGTAAGACTTGAATTGTATGTGCAGCGGTTTCCTCATGTTTTGTTCAAGAAACTTCTTTTGCTACGATGTACAAATGGCAAACAAAAATTTTCATAAGCTGAGATTTAAAGCAATCTTTGGTCTGGAAAGTTCCATTTCCACCACTTCTGTTCAGTATTTTATCTTTCTCCTTGGCTTTGGTATATTGCAGGTATCCCAAGTGTTTGGGTTTGTATTTTCTGAAGAGTCTGTGGCGCTTGGCTGGTCCTCTAAAGCCTGTGTGCCTCTGACAAAAGATTCACCACTCTTTTACCCATAATATAGTTATGGGTTGCCTTGTATTAACAGATCTGACTTGGATTCTCCAAAAAAAAGTGGGGGGATGACGGATGTAGATAGTTCTCATTCAATGTTCCTGTTTTACACAGCCCAATATTAGCCATTACAAACAAGTATCTTATCCTTTGTTTTCTTTTTCCCCCAACCCAAAGATAATTTGGATAAATTATTATGGGTTTTTTTATTCAAAAATTTTTTTTTCCAATCTAATGTGATCCTCTAGTCTGAAGGCTATTGTTTTTGGGGTGTTGTCAGCAACGCTTATTAAGAGCACTGTTTATCCATTTCCAAATTCCAAACTTTGTCCAAAATAATAATTGGGGAAAATCTGAAATAGGGTCTCATTTGGGGCAACAGGTATTGATTTAAAAAGCACTTTACTGTACCATGTGGTTGACTGCAGTTCACTCAAAGCTACATTTATGACTGTTGTGACAGAATTTTGTATTGTTTTGTACAAAACAAACCAACAAAAACGCAATAAACTGCTTTTAAACAATGTTCTTGTCTTGTGTTTCTGTAAAGCTGAACTTTATCAATCCCACCTCTGCCTGTGTTCACACAGAATCACGAGCCTCGTATCACATGCTGATACCGCAAACATTGACACTTCTAATAATGATCAAGCTCTTAGAAAAGGTTTTCAAAATGACTGATTCCGTTGACATAATCGCACAAGTCGCTATCACCTGAGCATGAGTCACATGGTGCATCACCTTACTAAGTCAACATGGCTAGAAGTGCTAATTTTTTTTTACTTGAACTTTACAGGGCCAAATGTTTCTTTAGAGAGTCTGGTGCAAACACTAAAAGTTAGCCAGCCTACGGTTGCCATGGATATCTCAGAGCAGTTTAGCAGCCTACTGTAAAAGTGTGGGTTGAACATGAACATGCGGAGAGAGTGAGTCAACAAACTGTTTGGATCACACTATTGCGCGTCCTCAGATTCACAAGTGAGCATAAACTGAGGGCCATTATAATTTTGTTGGTATATATTAACATTATTTATATAATCAGAACTTTATTTATAGCATACTTATCAAAGTACTAAAATGGACTAAGTACTAAAAATGTGAAATGTGAAAATTTATATTTTAGGTGGTTTTCAACCATTTTAATTGAGTTTTTAGGTTAAATGGCCCTGCAGTGTGACAAATCAATTTTCTAAACAAATATTTACTTACAATATGTAATGTAGTCTGTAAATTAAGATGAGACTGTAAAAAAAACTGCATGTAGAATAATTAGAAAATTGTTGCATGAGATGGCATTTAAGTGTGTGTGCAATAATAATAATAACAGCAATAAGTTATTCTATTATTATTATTATTAATAAAAATAACCAAAAATGCACTGTCATGTTCACACACACACACACGACGGTAACATGACTACATTTTTAGTTATTTTTAATAATAATAATAATAAATATTATTATTATTACAAATAACCAGAATGCAGTCTCTCATGTTTTGCACTATGATAATAGAGGTTCATACCTCTTCATACCTATTACGTACTATGGTATGTCTCCATCTAGTGTTAGATGAGCACTTTCTTTCACCAATGACCAATTCTCTCTCATTGGATACTGGAGACTGTTTGAGGTAATTATCCTGTCACTTAAGAAGTGGTTCCCAACCCTGGTCCTGGAGGCACCCCAACACTGCACATTTTGCATGTCTCCTTTCTCTGACACACCAATTTCAGGTCTTGGAGTCTCTACTAATGAGCTGATGATCTGAATCAGGCGTGTTTGATTAAAGAGACATGCAAAACCTGCAGTGTTGGGGTGCCTCCAGGACCAGGGTTGGGAACCACTGACTTAAGATATGTTATGTGTTTAAAAATGTAAGCCAGGGGTGCCCAGCCCTGGTCCTGGAGCTCTACCTTCCTGCAGAGTTTAGCTCCAACCCTGATCAAACACACCTGAACCAACTAATTAGGGTCTGAAGGAGCACTTGATAATTACAGACAGGTGTGTTTGATCAGGGTTGGACCTGAACTCTGCAGGAAGGTAGATCTCCAGGACCAGGGTTGGGCACCCCTGATGTAAGTAATTTACCAATGATAAATCAGGATTTGAATTGGATTCAGATTATACCGTTTCTAATAGGCTGAGAAGTCCTGCTAATTAAGAGTTGGAATGGCATTCAGGTGTGCACACTTTTATAAAAGTGAGACCAAAAGTATTACAAGAAGGTTTGGAGTTTGGAAAACTAAGAAAAAAAAAAAAAGGAATTCTGTGTTGGTTAGTATCCGAATGAGGGGTGTTTGTGGATTATATTTGCACTTCGCTTTTGCCTTTGATTCAAATTATACCTGGTTTCTAATAGGCTGAGAAGTCCTGCTAATTAAGAGTTGGAATGGCATTCAGGTGTGCACACTTTTATGAAAGTGAGACCAAAAGTATTTCAAGAGAGTTTGGAAAAGAAAACAAGAAAAAAGGAATTCAGTGTCTGTTAGTATCTGAATGAGGGGTGTTTGTGTATTTTATTTGCACTTTGCTTTTGCCTTTGTTATTGGACTCACTTGCAAATGTGTAATTGAATGCATAAGGGTGAGTATTGTTTCACTATTAACTGATTATTTTATTTTTTTTATTCATCTATTTAACTTTTTAAAATGTATTCCTACTAGAGCTCCTACAAAATGCAAGAAGTGTTCTGAATTCAGTCATTATCCTGCTGGGAAGGGGAAAAAACTACTTAAACCAAGCTAAGATTGTTTAAGACTTTGATTGGTCCTTTGTTTTAAACTGGTCCAGAAAAATAGAAATAAAAAATAGAAAATCCGGACAATGCAACTATTGGTTTACTTACTGTTGTCCAAACTAAGGGATCTACTACTTGACTTTTAGAATAAACCAGATGGGTTTTTTTCCAGCTTGTTGCAGACGGAAGAAGCTCAATGGTGGATGAACAAATTGAATGCTGTTTTCAATTTCTAAAATTAAAGCTATTTTGTGTGTCGTGTCAGTTATTATGAACCCTTCTCAACGTGTGCACTTCTTCACACTCACTTGCCCTATAAAATGACATTGATATTATATAACCTTCATTAATGGGCATGCTGTTGCACTTAACTCGCAACGAAACTCAAATTATTAATTTAAAAGATAAAGTCTAAAGTAACATGTTTAAAACACTAATTTAAAATGAAACAACTGCTTTATTACAGAATGCAGAAGCGCGACGCAGATGCCATGCTAAATATTACAGGCAGATGGTTCGGTCAACTATATTACGTACAGAACGCGACGCGAGCTGGGGGCCTCGCGGCGGTTGTCTGTCGCGCATAAAATATGGCGTCGTAGGAAGTCTGTTGTTGTCTGAAAGAAAGTGGCAACAAACGGATATGCAAATAACCACGCATGTAGTGACTAAAACATACCAGTTAAAAGGCAGATAAAGTGACCGTGGTTATGAACCGCGATGTTGAGATCTACGGGTTTTTTTCGTGGGATTGACTGCCCGTTTTATTGTGAGCGTAATAAGGGAAAAGCCGGTGTAGATGGGTGCACCAGACCCTACTGTCACTTCAGACACAGCAAACAAAGACGAGGCTCCTCTGGGATATACGACATCAAAAAGACTAAAGCGCTTTCTGCGAGTCCAAACGGTGAATTAAAATGTCTTTGTGGTGTCATGTTTTCCTTTTGTTCAAGTTCTCTTTGGGTTCATGTACATTTAAATGCACAGAAGCGTTCTGCTGAGGAACAAAGAAACCAAAAACAACCCCAAAATTGTACTGCCATATGTCAGAGAGTCCAATTTATAATTTAATAATAAACTATATGTATATATAGCTCTTACTGTTCTCAGGAAACTTTGATGCCTCAAAAATAGGTAGTAACTTGGAAATGTTTGCTTTAGTTTTATGAAATTGTTTCTGCAGTTATCTGTGCGTGTGTATATATTTGTTTTGATTGTTTCAATTTCTATACATATATATATATATATATATATATACACACATACAGGATACATTATATATTGTTCTGATTCTGTGATTACTTTTTTAACTGTATCATTTAAATCATGTGACTTTTGTTTACAGATCAAGGATATGATCCATTCAGTCCAGAGGTTGTAAGACCGGGTAAACATTATAATGGGGAGCCACCGTCGAGCCTGTCGACGGGACAGGATGTGGACCTGGGCACCATGGAGCTGGAGTTGGTCAATCGGGCCATTGAGGCTGTTCGCAATGAGATGGAAAGGGACAAGAAGAAGCTTTCTCGGATCGGCGATCAGGAATATGAGCCGACCACAAGCTCTGTTAAGAGACCGAAACCCACTGCATCATCCCATCAGGGCTACGATCCTGGGAGCTATCAAATGGGCCAAGCTAGTGAATACACCCCATCCCCTCGCTCCAGCAAATACACTTTGGACTCCGAGAACAGCAGTACCAATGCACTGGAATATGTGCCCACTGCTGTCTCCAAAACAAGCATTAAAAAGGCATTACCTCCACCACCGTCCCGTGTAAAGTGTAAATACACTCTGGATAATTCCAAACCAACCTCAGACATGGAGTACGACCCTCTCTCGAACTATTCAGCTAAGCCGACTGTTAAAGAACAGAGGACTTTGTGTTCAGAGGGAGAGGGGAGAAAGAGGTTTTACCCTGAAAAACAAGGGGAAGATGAGGAATACGTTCCAACGGCGAAGAAACCTAGGTCGACGTTACCTAAGGCAGATGTCCCGAAGTACACTGCAAGTTTCTCTGAATCTGATGAGGAAAGTTCTGGGACAGAGTATCGCCCGACATCCATAAGCCGAATGCAGCGCAAGGGAATCAACATCAGCTTAAAACAGGAACAAGTGTCAGGTGTGAAGGGACAGCAAAGAAATCAGGTGTCTAAAACTGACAATGTTTTCTCACAGAGCGAATCAGATGATGTGGAGTCCCAGGATGTAGACTGGACAGACAAAAAGATGCCTGTGAGTCAGTTGAAAAATATACAATCTGATAAACTGAAAAAAGAGGAGCAAGAATCCAATAAGAAGACTCAAAGTTCAAGTGCAGACAAGACATCGAAGAATTTAAGTCAAAAAGACAAGAACCAAAGTAAAAGTGAGGACAGAGTCAGTAAGTCCAAGGAAAAGCTGCGGAAAGACGGAACGAAGTCAAAGAGTACTGAGGAAAAGAACAAGAAGATAGTTAAGATAAAGAATGAACATAGCCACAAGGAAAAAGATAGAGGAAGTGGTGACATCAAGAAGCCCAAAATGGACAAGCCTGTGAAAACCAATAAGGTGTCGTCCAAAATCAAAGACCAGAAGAATGGTAAACTTGAGAGCAGCACAAAGGACAAGGACAAAAAGAAAAGCAGCCATGGGAGCAGCAGCAGCACTAAAGACAAAAGCAAAAAAAGCAGCTCAGTTGTTGATCCCAAAGAGGCAAGTGAGGCCAAACAGAGGAATCTGAGCCACATTGACTTGTTCGGTGCTGAGAGTGCTGAAGAGGATGAGGAAGACGAGAGGATAGTGAGGAAGTCAGCTTCTGCTTTTAAACGGGGAAGCCTCATGAAGAATAAGAGGAAAACGTCTGAAGATACATCATCATCATCGGAGGATGACTCTGAAGTGGATGATGACGATGATGGTGGTGGTGATGAAGCAGTGGACTACTCCTGTCTGCAGGATGAGATGGAGTATGACTCGGACCCGATGGAGGAGTGTCTGCGGATATTTAACGAATCCAAAGAGGTGAAGACGGAAGATAAAGGGAGACAAGCTAAGCAGGTACCACAGAGTTTTTATTTATTTCTCTAGGTTTGATAATCATTTTGGTTACTCTAAAAAGCCTTTATGGGGGTTTGAGGAGGTTATGCAAATTTTTGCTGTCAGTGGAATTTTCTGGGTTTTCTGTTGCAACTGAAGTTTCACTTTCTTGTGT